TTATCCAATATCTTGAGCAATCTCTCCTTTCATTCATTCCTTCTCTTTCTTTCTTCAGAATATAACTACAAGACTCTCTATCATCTATCTTTATACCTATTGTTTCTATAACATTAGCCATAACACTCAGTGTAAGATTGACTGAAAAATAATAATACAAATCTTTACTTCAAGCTCTACACAGATTTATTGAACACTAATAATTGAATACATTTTTATGCAAAGTTTGAATGTGTTTCTCCAATTGAAACATAACATAATAAACCCATTACATGTATATGCCTTCATTCTTAAAAAATGCTCTGTAAACCGACTTTTAGACTAAAATATCAGATGTAATAGTCTCAATAAAAGATTGTAAGATCTCTGTTACGAAACAAGAAAGAAAACTATTTAACTAATACAATACCTAAATACAAACAGCAGCTAGTTGACCTGGACGAAGCTATCTTGACAACCAGATATATGTTCTCAGTAAAAACCATTTCATTCATATCAACCCATATCTGAAAAACACAACAAAATCATTACTGCTCATCCTAAATGTTTAATAGCCAGCTTGTTCTGTGGTGTACAATGAGGGAAATTTTGCCAGGATTGCATGCTACATACTTTCAAATCCAGCTCTTGAGGGATCCTTAAGGTGTACAACCTGTAGCAAACTGGACATAAGTTTATCGCCCAATGAAAGGAATTAAACTATTTTTCCATCTTAGCCCATCTACCCTGCACCACTGACGAAGAGAAGACAAAACAAGAGTAACTACCTTGTCTTGCTTGCTTTGAATGCTAAGGGCTAAATCTAATATATAAACTGTACAAGTAATCATTGCAAAGGTTTTAGTTGTGACCCCATTGCTGCAAACACAAAAAGGTTCGAGGACAGGCTGTAGCAAAACTGTTTAGAGCATCAGAATCTTTACATGACGTCATTTGTTTGGTAAAGTGAGGTAGATGTTGGTCAAATGTTATAATCTGACGTTTTTCCAAGGACCTGCTGACCCATTTCTTATCCTTTTAAAAATTGCTGTTTCTTTATTTCTTCCTTTTAAAGAATAACTTACTTCTGTTTTACATGCTCTTACAGATCGTTCCAAATTTCTTGCCCTACACATCAATCAATCTAGCTCGGACAGTACAGGGACGATGAGCTCCCTGCAGGATTACTCCCTGCCTACCCTAAAACTGTTATCTATATCACCCTTAACTGCAATTACAAAAAAAAACAGGGAATAAGGTTTCCATAGATTAACATGGGCACTTTGAATTTTCTTACTTGCAAATTTTGTACAGTTCTAGTACTTCTTAAGCAATTTTTACATATTCGATGTCGAATCTCAAACTAAAAAAAGTGACTGTGCGAAATGAAATTAATTTCAGGTCGGTCAATCAAAACCTAATCAATGCCTCTAAAGATTCCAATCTACATAAGGCTAGCGTTCCGTAAAATTTAGTTATTTAAAAAAAAAATTCCAGCTATCTTATCTTATTCACCCTTTTAGACCATAAAAACAAAATTATCTGAAACCATACTCCAACATCAGTATCTGACACCATACTCTAATACCATTATCTGAAACAATACTCCAACACCATTATCCGACACCATACACCAACACCATTATCTTACAGCATATACCAATATCTTCTTATCTCAATAAACCAAAAAGTAACCTAATAATAATTAAAATACCATATATATTAAAGGGTCAATATGCAAGATTTCTTAAATAATTTTACAAATTAAATCATAAACCATCTGACATATTTTCTGTTTTTTGGATTTTACACTGCTGAGTGCTCAGACTGTATCACAAGTGGCATAGGTATTTTGTCCTATCCGAACATCCCCTGACCCATATCTGATTTAGAAAATCATAAAACATGTAGAAAAAAGGCTAAAATAATAATAATACTTAACCTCAAGTCCAAGTTCAAGAAAGAATTCCTACATGCCAATTCCACATATCCACAAGCCAACAGAGAATGTTTTATTTCATGACTGTAAAAATATCAATTTCTGAAATAGAAAAACATCATTACACTCCCCCTTTCCCATTTGAAATTAAAACTAACCAAACTTCTAAATCTACTAGTTCATGATCCCAAAAAATAGCGATGCCATCTTAATACGCCCAAATTTGTAACAGCAGCTAATTTTTTCCGGGAGGTTGACAAGAGTTATCAGTAAATGAATGTTTCTGAGAGTGAAATTTTATATTTTGTTTTGTTTCCAGATTACAATTCAAGAACAAGGGCAATAACTCATAGTAAATATTTTTCGATTCGTCTGATTTTCAATAGGGATCATCCTTGGGTGTAATCATCCTTGGGTGATTATAAACACACCAAGTTTCGTCAAAATCCATCAATAAACCAGCTCTCTATCGTGTCCACAAACAATTGAAAAACTAAAAACTAAAACCAACACAACTTAACAAAAGTCATGGACAAAACAGCACACATCCGAACAAACTAAAGCAGAAAGCCAAACAAATATGATAGAAAGACAAGCCAAAACAAAAAAAAAGCAGACACCCCAAAAAAAAAAAAGAAAACCATTACTCTTTCCACTATTATCTGAAAAAGAAAAAAAAAATATAAAAAAATTACTGTGGCTCAGTGAGTTTGATGCTTGCTTGCTTCACTTTCAGAAAAGGTTGAGGCAATTCCTTTGAAGTTATCAACTCGTGTCAATGATGTCAAGTCAGAGGCGTCGGTATGAAAAAGGGTCTAGATACAATAAACTAAGGCCCTGTGTGCTGTTCACATCCTTGACTGGTGGAAATTGAAATCCTTATATCCTGAAGAATTTCCCTCACTGAACACAATTGCAAGTATGACACAATTTCATTTCTATCGGTTGTAATGAAAATATTTAGATGACCATACCTGTGGTTTCTTTATCTACATGCATGCTTCTTCTCATCTGATAACCCTCCCTTCATCCATACCACCATATCCTAAAAAGAAAACTTTGACCCCTGAACTCGAACACTAACTTTGACTCTTTAACTCAAATATCAACTTTGACCCTTTAACTCAAATATCAACTTTGACCCTTGACCTCAACCACCATCTTTTACCTTTGACCTCAACAACTATCATTGACCTTTGACCTCAGCAACTATCATTGACCTTTGACCCCAACAACCATCTTTGACATTAGACCTCATTCACTCACTTTGACCTTAACTGCAAACTTTGACCTGAACTTCCAAACCTGTACGTACACATAGCAAAATACCCCAAATAAAAAAACAAAAATACAAACAATAAAGCTGAAATCCAAACAGAAAAACAAGAAGATATGAAAGCCATTAAGCAAAAATCCAAATAATTGCTGATGGTCTTTGTATCATGGCAATTCTTGTTGAATGGTAGTGGAAAGGTAATCTTGGTATGATTGACTGGTATCTAGTAAAAGGTGCAGAAACACCCAATGAAAGAAGAAAAATGTGGCCCGTTTCTCAAAAAATCTTTCAATAGAAATGTGTCATAAGTGTGGAATTTTACACTGAGAAATACCATACTTAGACAAATTTTGATTGTGAGATTTTTTGAGAAACATGGCCCAGACCTTGGTTGCAGAAAGGTTAGTCAGCCTACTGATAGATAGAAAGAAAGATTTTTTACAAGGACAGCTTAGGGTCACAAGATCCTGTCTAACAGCTGTTCCTTGACCAAATTTCTTGGCAATGATTTTACTCAGATTATCCATACCCATTTACAGCTGAGTCGAATAGAATACTGAGAAAAGATGACTTATTCTAGCGCAAGGAGAAAGTCAATTCTAAAGGCACCAGTAAAATCCAGTCGCTGGAAGCAGAACTAATAATGCAGAAACACCAAATCAATGCAGAAACACCTAATCAATGCAGAAACACCTAATCAATGCAGAAACACCAAATGTAGAAACACCATCTTCTTGTGAGCTCTTCTGCTGAAATAAGAAAGGAATTATGAAAATAAGCCACAGTTCAAATATTCATCTAGTCAAAGCAACTACTTATTTTAATGCAACTTGTTTTTTTTTAAGAAATACTACCTCTCAGAATAAACAGCAGATAAATGCATTGGTCATTATTACTGAACAACATTCATAAATTTTCCTATGGTATCTTTCTAATTTCACTTTTTTGGATTCCAACTTTGAAGAGTCAACATCTGAACGAAAACCAGAATTTCTTGGCACTTTCCACTTTCATGCACTTGGTTGCATCTATTTTCAAGACCTAAACTTTCATCCGACTGATGATTACATACACTTATAGGCCAAATTTGAGAATGTTAATTCTAAAAGGTAGTATTCTATTGAAACTGATACTGATATGCATATGCGGGCACAGCCTTGAATGATAGAAGAACTAAATGCAAGATTTTCATTTTGGAAAATGCCAGTCAATCATATAACCATAATTCAGTTGTAGAAGAACCAAGACAATATTTTGGAATTAGCACACTTCTTAGATAAACTAATTAAACACATAACGTTTCAACCTTTCAGCACAATTTACATGTGCCATCATCAGATGAAATAATGATGGAATAAAACATAACAAAATGTATAAATGGTAACCATTTAAGTCTTCCCTATTGTTTTAACTCATTTATTTCCTAAATTGTAACTCACTTTCGATAATAAGCATATGTTCTCTTATTTAGACTTCTCATTATTACTTTAATTACCCTTTACACTGTTAATCTCTTTATTATTCTTAGTTGTAATATGTTTTGTTAGGTTGTTTATTCTGATAACAACACATTGTTTGAAACGTTATCTGTTTAATTAGTTTATTAAAGAAATATGTTAAATCCATAATATTGCCTTGTTTCTGTTATATGTACGCCTCATTTCTAAATGTCGTTCAAGTCTTATGTCCGATTTCATTTTAAAAATTAAGATGAAAATGTTCACTAAATCGCTTGTAACATACCCATGGCTTTTCATCTGTAGACTTTGGTTCTTCTTAATGAGTACTCTTTGGAAGTCCCTCTTTTCATCTGTTGATCTTTTCTTCAGCATTCTTCACTTGTTCTTCATACTTCTTTCTGTTCTTCATCTGTTCTGTAGGCGCCGCTTCATCTGTTCTTCTTCTGTTCCTCTTCATCTGTTCCTCTTCATCTGTGAATAGGAGGTCTGAAAAGTCATACAGGCCATGACCTCAGAACACTCCTATTGTGGCAGTGCTATTGCGGGTAGGTAAATTACCAGACGATTTACCCTTTCTAACCTGAAAAATATAAATACATAATCGCAAATAATTAGATGACTACCATTTTAAGTAATTTTTAAAAAAATAAAAACAATGTGTGAGAGGCCATGAAATACCCTTATATTAGAGATGACAATTTGGCGTCATCATTCTGTAGGGTCTTGATTGGCTGTTTACTCATATAAATACCATGTATTTGTTTATTTTTTAAAATATCATGATTCACAAAACTGTATCAGATAAGCAAAGTGTTCCAAGATATTTCAAATTAAGAATATCAAAGTAGTTTAAAATTACAGACTAAATATTTCTAAAAACAAACTTGCCTTGCGAGCTTCTGTGCCACACCATAAGCACTTGACTTCTGTATATGAAGCTCTATCTGTTTACAACTAAAATTAATGATATACAACTTAATTCTTTGATGTGGCACAAGAATAAATGTCTTTTATCCAGGCAAAGGATCAAGGAGTCAAAATGGTCAGGGGTAAGGATAGCGTTATGCATTAAAGTACACTTGCCTTGCGAACTTCTGTGCCACACCATAAGCACTTTCATTCCATGTAGTGAAGCTCTATCTGTTAACACCTAAAATTATAAATATTTCAAACATATGAATACCAAGTTTCTAAAAATTTGGTCAATTGTTTTTTTTTTTTTGGATTAAGGAGCTACCAACAATAAAAGGGATTGTCAAGAGTATTTTTATTTATGTGTATTGGGGAACCACAAAAGTTTAAAATTGGAATTGTGCAATTTGATGTTATCAGTGTCCCTGATACCTATGAAAAATTTTAACAATCCCTTTAAACATTCCAAGTTTTAAATAATTCAATTCAAAATTTGATACCTTTGGTCACATTTGAAAGTCATTTTTTAGCTTGAAAACTAAAATGATGCAAATAGATACACATTATAAAATGCTGGAAATCCTTTCTTACTTTAAAAAATACAGCATAAACAATTAAACTTGAATTGCTTTATTATACCATATGAAATATTTCAAATATCCTTACCTAGCTTCGATCCAAGAGTTGCCTTTGGACATTTGTGCTCCACCATAACCTAATTGACCCCCCAGTTTAAATGTCCTGTTATAGCTAAAGACCAGCTACTTTGATCTTGGAACCCTGGAAGAGAAACAACAGTAATTCTATTTGTGGTAATTTAAAGGGACACATTTGCCATTTTTGGGGGTTGATTTGAGTTTTGAATATATATATATGTGAATAGTCTTCGGAAGTGCTAGATATGTATGCAACTTCCTTTAAAAATACCTCAAACTGGGCATTTCTTTTTCTATATATTTCTTTTCGACAAATGCCAGTCATCTTTCTTACACAGATTATTCTGGACATACATGGATTTCAATATGTACTAGCCTGGGGCCGGTTTCACAAAGCTTACGATCGTCGCAAGTTTACGACTAAGTGTAGAAGAAATATACGATCGTAGCTAGTACCGATCTTAGAATCACTTGCTCAAAACGATCGTACGGCGATCTTAGTTACGACATGGTTAAGACGAAAACCATAGAGTGACGTCATGTGTTTCTGTGATGACGGTGCCATCATGGCGGACAAATAGAAATGTCAAAGCAAAGCGAGCGTCAAATTCTAACAAATTTTCAGTGAATTTGCATTCTCTTGTGGACTATAGTACATTGGTACGACAGGACATCTCGGCAATATCTGTAATAGCAGCATTTTATTTAGATCTACGATTCCAAAACAGAGAATACGTCAAACAAAATGTCCAGGCAAAACTTTGTACTGTGTGACTGAGTCCATCGTCATTTGAGACAGTAAAAAGACGAGATTGATAGTGAAAGATAACTATCTAGACCATCTTTTCCAATTTTACCAATTATTTTAAAATAGATGTTCCATCCTAGACCTTTCCATTTGAGACTGAGAGACTCAAATATCCTACTTTCGGCAAAGCTAGGACGTAGGAGATGATGGACCTATTAAGTCCAAACGACGTCTGTAGGACCTCAGAAAGACTCATCTCTTTTGACAATAACAGAATTAGAGTCTTGGCAGAAAAATGTTGTTAAAATTATTATTTTGGTACGAAATGTATACTTTCTTTGCTTTAAACATAACAGGCCCGGTGTCGGCTTTCACCGCCTAATACTAAACATGGAATAAACATTGCATTTGAAAAAGTATCTTGTAAGCCGCTTTCTGCAAATCATTTTTGAAACGTTTACTCGAGTGTCTGAGACAGGCATACTGTTTTTACTTGCACTTGACACACCCACCTGGACCCACTTTTAAATCCATGTGAGATTTCAACGACTGCAACATGTTGTAATTGCTACTGCTTTGTAGCCTAGTACTTTATTTCTGTTCATTTTCAGCAGTTTCCCAAGCGTTAAGGCCGTATTTAACAGCTCTACTCCTTAAATCTTGTTGTGTTACGGACCCATCCCTGTGCAACCCACCATTTTGATAACGAAAGATCGGTCCTACGACATCTAAGTACATGTCGTAGCTAATGGTCTTAAGATACGACCAAAGTTGCGATTGAATTTATTTCGTGAAATGCATCGTAAGTTTTACGAACGACTTGCGATCGATTGCAAACTTACGACCTGTCGTAACTCTTTTGTGAAACCGGCCCCTGCTCTTTTTCGATTTCGAACTGTCAAAAGATTTTTAACATGCAGTCTGTAGTACACAGGTATATTGTCACATCCGAACGACTAGAAGCTTTTTCCATGTCCGCCCCTGCCACTTGCATCATTAACAAGGGGAAATCAGGTTTTACAGAATAGTAACAATCACCAGTGTCAAATTCAACCATGCGTCATACATTTTTTCTGAACTTTTTTATCTTTCAAATATTGATAATTTGGTATAAATCTGATCTCTTAAGTACCTTCAAGCTACAATTGAACACTTTGAACACAAGGGCAATAACTCATATTTTTGATCTTCAATAGTGTCCATCCATGAAAGATAATAAACACACCAAGTTTTGTCAAAATCCATCAAGAATCGTGCCTTCTGAAGTTTTCACAGACTGATAGACATTTGTGACAACATAGTGGAATTTATAAAACTTTGTATACTGACCGTGCTACGTTGATCATCTAACTGTGTGTGGTGTATGTCAAACCCAATAGTAAAGACAGCTATTGAGTTCCCGCAGACCTGACGGCTGAAAATAAACATTTTTATTCAATTAAAGCAGGTGTCAATAGTAAGCCTGTATATATTAAGTTTTTATTGTGTCCGACATCATTGAACCTTTGATACAGAAACCAGTTGCCATAAGTCTAGATTTATCAAGTGCGAAAGAGTTTGATATCATTGAACCTTTGATGCAGTAGCCAGTGGCAATCAATCTAGATTTATAAAGTGATTAAGAGTCCGACATCATTGAACCTTTGATACGGTTGCCTGTATACAGAAGTTGTAGATTTATCAAGTGTGTACGAGTCCAACATCATTGGGCCTTTCATACAGTAGACCATTACTCATGTCACTATGTTTGGTGGTATTTGATTTATCAAGTGTTTACAAGTCAGATATCATTGAGCCTTAGATACATTAACCTGCTTGGTACTATGTTTCATTGGCTACTAAGTTCAATAATCTTATCTTAATCTTTCCTCCTTATTCATTGATTGGTCAAAGACCAGTAGAAAGGATACATATTTTTTTTATCCGTGGGAAAGATAGCTTGCCAAACATGGAAACATACACCCTCTTGCAGCTGTCAAAAATGTTAGTCTTTTTTCATATCTAAAAGGACATTCTGCTTTGTTGTAGGTTGAAAAAAAAATTTTGCTCAAATTTGTGAGATGTATCCTATAACGTATCTGAAATTTTAATTGAATATAACAAGTCATTATAAAGCCAATTACCGAAACTAACAATTAGTACTCTCAGTTTTTAACTTACCCATGCAGTTTGATCAAGTAGATACATAGATAAATATAGCATACTTTAGAAATATTTTCAGGTATAATTTACAATGTTTTTGATAATGAAAATGTTTTCCAAATAACGGAATGCCACTTTAAGATGTTCATAATGACTACATAGTTATCATCAAATCTAGTGCAATAACTCTTAATTAGCACATTAACTTAGAAAATGTGCATTGCAAAAGGAATCATTTCCTTACTCAAGAACTTCAATTCAAATGATCACCCCAAGCTGCAATCAATTCAAAACTGTAGCTTCTATAGTGCTAACAAACAAATTTTTACACGTTTTTACCAAGTCAAGGGCAGTAACTCTAAAATGGTTCACCAAAAAATCAAATTTGTAATTATCCAATATCTCATAATAATCAAACCAATTTTCATCCAAATTGTTTGAAACCTTTCGTTTTTATTGTAGAAACCAAAAATTTTTGACAAGTTTTAATGAAGTCAAGGGCAATAACTCAAAACTGTTATATCATCACACCATATTTTACCAATCTAAGATAGCTTGCCAGGCAAGGTAATATACGCCCACTGGCAGCTTTGATTTTGAATGAAGATATTTAGCAGTACAGTAACAATCACCAGTATGAAATATTCAACCTTCAGTCATACACTTCTTTTGAACTCTTTAGGGCGATACTGAATAATATTGAGTATGAGTTATTGCCCTATATCTTGAAAACGTGTTCAAATATTAGCTCGTGAAAACTCTAGAAGACAAATATTCAAGTTTTGTCAAAATCTGGCAAGAATCATGCCTTCTAGAGTTTTTGCGAGCTACAAATTAAACGAGTTTTCAAGAACAAGGGCAATAACTCATACTCAATTTTTTGGATTTTTCTGATTTTCAATAGGGTTCATCCTTGTGTGATTGCGAACACGCAGGCCAAGTTTCGCCAAAATCCGTCAAGAATTGTCCCTTCTACAGTGTTTACAAGCAAAAATTTGAACGCGTTTTCAAGAACAAGAGCAATAACTCATACTAAATATTTTTCAATTTTCTGTTTTTCAATACGGTTTATCCATGAGAGATAACCAACACCCATGCCAATTTTGTCAAAATCCAGCAAGAATTGTGCCTTCTAGAGTGTTTACAAGCTAAAATTGAACGCGTTATCAAGAACAAGGGCAATAACTCATATAAATATTTTTCAATTTTTCTGATTTTCAATAGGGTTTATCCTTGGGTTATTACAAACACTCACACCAAGTTTCATCGAAATCCGTCATGAATTGCACCTTCTAGAGTGTTTATGAGCGTTTCAAGAACAAAGGCAATAACTCATAGTAAATATTTTTCGATTCGTCTGATTTTCAATAGGATTAATCCTTGGGTGATTACAAACAACCATACCAAGTTTCGTCAAAATCAGTCAAGAACTGTGCCTTGTAGTGTGTTTACGAGCAATTGTGGACGGACGGACATGGGTGACGGCAATATATGCCCCCCCATTTCATGTGGGCGTATAAAAATTGAAGCTTCTATTGTGCCCCCATAACAAATAAGCTGATAGTGATCACTCAATATACGTTTATCGAAAAAATCGTCAAATGGTACTGACCAAGACCTAATAATCATGATAAATGATCACACCAAATTTCATTAAAATCGGATCAAAAGTGTAGTCTCCTTTATAGTCACTAACAAATTTTTACACATTTGGACTAAGTCAAGGGCAATAACTCAAAAACCTTCAAATGAAAAAAAAAACATCAAATTCAAACTAGTCCAAGATCTCAACAATATAAATGATCACACCAATAAAAACTAAAGTCTTTATTCTGCTCACAAGAAATGTTGACAAACCAATGGAAGAAATAATAAAACTTGACATCAAATACCATCAAATAAGAATAACTCGTATTAAATATTTTCTGATTTTTACTGTTTTTCAATATTGTTCATCCTAGGGTAAGGATCAACAATTCCACAAAGTTTTGTCTGAATCCGTCCGGAATTGTGCCTTCTTGAGTGTTTACAAGCTAAAAGATAGCTTGCCAGGCAAGGTAATATACGCCCACTGGCAGCTTTGATTTTTGAATAAAAATATCTAGCAGTACAGTAACAATCCCCAGTATGAAATATTCAACCTTCAGTCATACACTCTTTTGAACTCTTTAGGGCGATACTGAATAATATTGAGTATGAGTTAACGAGTATGCCAAAACGAAATAATTGCATGCTTACGAAGGAAAATTAAAAAATTATAAAATTGATTTCCAAATATCTTTTATCAAATGCAATCAATGCATATTATGTGAGTTTAAAATATCAATAGGCCTAACAATAACAATACTTCACATAAATTTCAAATAAATAACTTGATATTTCTTTCAAAGATAGCTTTCCAGGCAAGGTAATATACGCCCACTGGCAGCTTTGATTTTGAATAAAGATATTTAGGAGTGCAGTGACAATTTGAAATATTCAACCTTCTTTTGAACTCTTTAGGGCCATACTGAATGATATTTAGTAAGAGATATTGCCCTTGTTCTTGAATTGTTCAATTTTTAGCTCGTGAAAACTCTAGAAGGCAAATATTCAGTCTTCAGCACGGGACTGAATAATAAAACCAAGTTTTGTCCAAATCCAGCAAGAATCATGCCTTTTAGTGTTTAAGAGCTAAATTTGAAAGCGTTTTCAAGAACAAGGGAAATAACTCATATTAAATATTTTTCAATTCTTCTGATTTTCAATAGGGTTCATCCTTGGGTGATTACGAACATTCACACCAAGTTTCATCAAAATCCATCAAGAATTGTGCCTTCTAAAGTGATTATGAGCTAAAGATTGAACGCGTTTTCAATAGCAAGGGCAATAACTCATACTAATTATTTTTCGATTTTTCTGATTTTCAATAGGGTTTATCCTTGGATGATAAACACTCATACCAAGTTTCGTCAAAATCCGTCCAGAATTGTCCCTTCTACAGTGTTTACAAGCTAAAAATTGAACGCGTTTTCAAGAACAAGGGCAATAACTCATTAAATATTTTTTGATTCTTCCGATTTTCGATAGGATTCATCCTTGGGTAATTACGAACAATCACACCAAGTTTCGTCAAAATTAGTCCAGAATTGTGCCTTTTAGAGTGTTTACGAGCTAAAAATTTAACGCGTTTTGAAGAACAAGGTCAATAACTCATACTAAATATTTTTCGATTTTCTGATTTTCAATAGGATTTATATTTGGTTGATAACAAACAATTATGTCAAGTTTTGTCCAAATCCAGCAAGAATCATGCCTTTTAGTGTTTAAGAGCTAAATTTGAAAGCGTTTTCAAGAACAAGGGCAATAACTCATACTAAATATTTTTCGATTCTTCTGATTTTCAATAGGGTTCATCCTTGGGTGATAACGAACACACATACCAAGTTTCGTTAAAATCCATCAGGAATTGTCCCTTCTAGAGTGTTTACGAGCAATTGTGGACCGACGGACGGACATGGGTGACGGCAAATCTTCTTCTATGGATTTAGTTTTCATTTATAAATTATTTTTGCTGTTATATACACCGAAACAAGGGGCTGGATGGAGTGCTGGGTGTGGTAGACAAGTTTCACAATAATACAGAGTTTCAGATCTCTGACCTTTAGCCTTGCAAACAATACATTTTCTCCTTTTACCCTCTTCTTCTTTACCAGCGACATGCAAAACACCATTTAATCTTGCTACTGGGGGACCTTGCATAGGTCTACCTCTTTTGGGGGTGGGATGGGTGACTGTTTACTAATCCAGCGATAAGTTTCTGACGGAAATTTAGAAGGGTGATTTTATTCATGTTTACCTCAGGCCCTCTTGTTAATTTGTACAATATAAAACTATTCGTAATACATAATTCAATTAGCCAAAACAAATTTTTTTTATACCATTTCACTGACTTTCTTGCAAAAGAATAATACTGATTTAGTTGGTCACATTTATCAACCCCTCCCATGTAGTTGTTGTATAAACAAATTACTCTAGGTTTTATAACATCTTCTTCTCTACATTCTCAGTCAAATCTCCCCTACAGACAGTGGATATCATAGTTATCAAACGTTGATCCATCCAATTCAACACCATAATATTTCCACTGCGGAACACAATTCTTTCGGTATACCACATCTGTTTAGCATTACAGTTCCTGTCAAGCAAGTTTTCCTCGAGAATAGCACACGTGCTAAATCAACAGAATTATACAATCTATCTATCTACACATGATATCCTTTGTCAAGGTAAGGTTCACACAATTTCAATATTGACCTTGATGTTTTGTTCAGACCTGGTTCCGTTACATCAGCGTCATTGGTACTGCCATAATAAATGTTTATGCTAGACATGAATCCAGTTTCTCCATCGGCTAAAGTTCTGGCTACGATCCCCCATTTCGTTGGCTTCTTTGGTATGTACTGACGAAATATTATTCGGCCTTCGAATCCTATCATGCTTTCGTCAGCAGAAATATTTTGGTATGGTATCTAATAATGCTGGAACTAAGAAACTAATTTATCAACTAGAGGCTGAATTTTGTCACCACGATTTCTATTATTTGTATCAGTCTGGCACACGTGCAGCATTGTGTGATATAAAAGAAGGAATCGGTCTCTGTTCATTGCATTTGCAAAAAAGGGGTGTTGGATATCCAATCGGTTTTCCAGTAAGACTGCCGGTTTACGTATAATTCCGTATATGTATAATTCCCATGTTCATAAGAATTCCGAGGAATGTATGAATTTCCTCCTTATGCATATCTTTCCATTCACGTAGTCTGAAACGTCTCTTCATATTTGGCGTATTTTCAATTTTTTCAGCGGCATAACTATATATTGCTGTCAAAAGATCTTGAACAATATTTTCAGAAAATAATACTTTGAAAAATTCACAGGGCTCAACATCATCATTCATTAAATGTTCAACATTCCTAGGTCCTGGTTCACCGTGAGGAACAAATGAAGCACAACGGGGTCCTGGATCATCATCAGTGACATCAATCCATTCTTCATCTTGCTTTTCTTCTCCTTAATTTCTTCTTTGCCTTTGGCTTAGTTGTTTTTTTCCCTTTCTTTACTGCCCCAGCAATGTTGTTTTTTTCTGCCTCAGTTGAGGTTGAAGGCTGTTGATGTCTTTCTTCATTTTCTAAATCACTGATGGCTGCTTCAGTCATGCTAGAATCACACTCATCGTCTATTGAATTTTATTATTGTCATTTAGGCCTAGCGAATTTACGTCATCATGTTCACTACTGTCACTTTCTTCAGATTCAACATCAGATTCATCGTCATTTTTTCCACTATTCTCAGATTCGTTCGCAAAACTTTTATCATAGAGTGTTTACTAGTAGCTGGGCCAGCCTCACAGAGTACAAAACATAAGTACAAATAGGGCTTAGACTCACTCAATCAGGGCAATTACTGTCGAGGCTGAAAGAGGGAGGCGATGTCCAGCTCCTCCCTCCCTCCCCAACTGCACTGCTAATTTCAGCCACGCCGGTAATATTCATCGCAACGACTTTATTTTAGGTCTTATATGTTCAATTACTTCGATCGAACCTCAAACCTGTCCAAGGAATTAAGAACTTCAAACCTGTCCAAGGAATCAAGAACCTTCCTCCCCTACCTTTCCCCTTATTGTCACTACAATTCTTATAGAACCAAAAGCAATATCAGCAAATCATATTTATTCATAAAATGAAATTGAGTCTTACTTTTCTGTAACGGACAAGATTTTTAATCAATATGAAACTCATTATAGATTTCTTACTGTTGAGGGATATTTAACTCAATAGACTGTAGCACAGAGGGCCTCTGTTTATTGTTCCATCCAACAAACCTTGGATTTCAGATTAGCAAGAAAGCGTCTAATTCACTGAGCCACCGCAGATAACAGTTAACTCAACACAAGGTAGAAACTGACAGTGACAGAAATCAGATTTAAAACTAAAAGGCCGCATTTAAATGGTAAGCATAATGCATCAAAATTTGAAAAGTGTGAGTTTGGAAAAGTCATAGAGAAATTACAAGAAATAAAAATCTGTACAGGCAAAACAACTTCGTTAACCAAATATATATCATGACAAAATCGGGAGCAGTGGACTCAAACGAAAAGGACCATCAGATGAAAGTGAAAGTAGTAAACACGGCCTGCCTTTCAAGCGGCAATCGAAACTTCTATACAAATCATCAAAATAATCAAATCAAACTTTCCAGATTTTGTGAAAATCAGATACCATAAGCAGTCTCGATATGGATCCATGTGAAAAAACACAAATTCAAAACTGTTCTTTTTACAAGAGTAAGAACTCAGGTTCAAGAAGATCTTGTCAACATGCTGGTCCTTGGTACAGTCCTCAAAATGTTTAAAACTTGCGATCTTCCTACAAAAATGGTTTAAGGAATTGCGGATACTTTTTCATCTGTACGAATTTTAGTATTTTATCTATAAAATGTTTAATTGGCAACTCCTTTAACTATTTTATTTTCTCCTTCGTAGAGTGAGTTTAAGTATAAATTAGTTTAGGTCAGCACTGGTCAGATTAACCCTTTCAATACCTTTGATTGGTTTTCACCTTGTTTTCAATATATCTTTTTGTAATAGTGAGTTCATTATTTTACTGGTTACAGACGCGTATAGTCTTAATTTTGAAGTTGTATTTTGAGCAGCGAAATTTCGATAATGTCTGAAGCAGCGAAAAGACGACATGAAAGTAACAAACCAACAGCTATTAAAAAGGCTTCGGCTTGTTCCGGCGATGGGATTAAAATAGTTGAACAATCCTTTGATAAAAACACATCCAACAGACGAAACATAGAATTTGAAGATGGCGGCGATATTTCTTCCATGGGTGATGCTGCCCAGGAATATGTGAACGATGATTTGGACGAAGAAGATATGTTGGCTGAAATAAGAAGAAATGAAGATCAACTGAAGAAAGTTGAAGCTGACTTAAAGAGGGGTAGAATAAGGGAAGAATTGTTAGAAAGTCGCAGAAAGCTGGCTGAAATCAAGGACCAAACGGAAGTCAAATTTGGTACCAGCGTCAGCTAAGGGTTTTGAAAAGAAAAAGCAGCTATGTATTAGAGACGTGTCATACGTAGATTCTAATGTTTTAGTTAGATTTAAGTGGTCTAAGACCATCCAATTTGGATGTTCTATAAATGTTCTACAAGTTTGATGTATGAATATTCTACAAGATTGATCTATAATTGGTCTACAAGTTTGATGTATGAATATTCTACAAGATTGATCTATAAATGTTCTACAAGTTTGATGTATGAATATTCTACAAGTTTGATGTATGAATATTCTACAAGTTTGATGTATGAATATTCTACAAGATTGATCTATAAATGTTCTACAAGTTTGATGTATGAATATTCTACAAGATTGATATATAAATGTTCTACAAGTTTGATGTCTATGTAAGTTTTGTATTGAGGCCAATTATAAGATTATCTATAATGTAACAATCGGATGTTTCGGTTTGCGGGCCTTTGGCTTGGCGGATTAGATTAAGTTCCTTTTGTAATGTTTGTTTGCCCTATTTCCCTGAATTTAAATTCTTTGTATTTGAATTAGATTAAGTTCTTTTGGGATATTTGTTCATTTTGTTCTTTGGCGGATTAGATTAAGTTCCTTTTGTAATGTTTGTTCATTTTGTTCTTTTATTAATTATTTAAGAGTTTGTAATTTGTAAAATTTGAGTATATTTTGGCCACAATAATTAAAGTATTCATTTACTTTACTACTGTTTTGTTATTGGGGTTGGGAATTGTATGTCAATTATAATTTGTTGCTGATGGAGCTAAAGTTTTTCCTCGGAATGTTGAATAGGCCTAAGCTCAACTTATACAAAGTGGGTGGAGGCAAGTCCATTCCAATACAAATTAGAACCATTTAGCATTATTTGTTGGATGGAAAGAAAATGACGCCAGGATTCCAAAACTCAAAATAAATGAGCAGCAGTCTGTCTAAAAAATTCTAAGATCAACTTACCAAAAATGGGCGGAGTGATTGCCCTACTTCTTCATCTGTTCCTCTTCATCTGTTCTTCATCTGTTCTTCATCTGTCCTTCATCTGTTGGCGCGCGCCGCTTCATCTGTTCTTCATCTGTGAATAAGAGGATCTGTAGAGTCATACAGGCCATGACCCCAGAACACTCCTATTATGGCAGTGCTATAGTGGGTAGGTAAATTACCAGACGATTTACCCTTTCTAATCTGAAATTGAATTAAACCAATAGTAACGAACCAAAACGTACAAAAAACTAGCGATCCCCAACACAGCAGCAAATTTCATCAGCAATGTTTCAACAAACCAGGACCCTGTTTAAGTCTTGGACCGGACTGATTTGAATATTAAGGACAACTATTGTTTCAAGCTTAACCGTTTGAGAACTTTAAAAATCAGCATTAAATTATAAGCAGCAACTGTACACCGAGTCTGAATTGATTGGGAGACAGACAGACAATGGTGAGGAATTTCATATTCCCTTTCACACTGAATTATCACCCAGATCACACTTTGCAACTTGGTGTGGAAATTCATATAGCTTGAAGATGGATTTCCTTATATTTCAGTGTCAAATTAAGCAAATTATTTGATTAATTGGTGTTTCTAGTGAATTATGGAGTATTCTTAATCATATCATTTTGTTCTTATTGCATATAATTAAGAGTCTTAACCAATCGCAATTGTCTATGTATATATATTCATTCAAGGAGCAATTTTGAACTGTATAAAAAAGACAAAAGCCGCCAAATGTTTGGTTGATAAACACAGATTGGATTGAGATTTTGGATAAAATGTTTTAAAATTGTATATAGAAAGATATGTAATAAGAATGTAAAATCACCCACTCTTAATTCAGAGGTGCCTAAAACAGTCAACTCTTCAAGGGATACCGAGTTGTCAAAATCAGTAGCAGAATGGAGGGGAAATTTGGATAAGATAAGGTGCTGTTAAGAACGAACAACCATTTTAACAACATAGGTTCACCTAGGATCTTTTTAACCAACTGATCTGTGTCCCAACCTCTTGAAATTTATGATTAGGTTGACGATGGAACGATGACAAGGTCACTATCCTTAATTAGAAATCAAGACCTCAAAATAATGACACGATGTCAGCAGAAAGAGAGCTATCGTTGTCTTTTGTGTTACGCCCATCAAGGTTGCATCCCCTATTATCCAAATATGTTTGTCAGTCAAATTTGAAATTAAAATGAGTTAAAAGCAGTATTACGTTTATCTGTTCTGCATCTGATTGAGTAGCAGTGCAATGAAGTTAATAATGCCAGGATTAGCCTTCTTTATTCGACGTCCAAATGTCGAGAGATCTTTCAGACGCAAAGCCTATAGCACACTGAACCACCAAGACTCCCTAGTATTATTTGAACCATTAGACTTTATGCATAATATGCCAGAATATGCAGAATTGGTAAAATATGATAATGTGAAACTTACACAAGGAGCTTCCATGCCACACCATAAGCACTTTATTCTTATATAATGAAGCCCTATTTGTATACACCTATAATAAATTTTTTTACGTTATTTATTTCATCACAAAATATAAACTGTATATTTGCGTGTATGATATACAGTTTTCCACCCTGAAATAGGTTGGATGACTTATGGGTGCACATTATTCCCATCGACAAAGTTTTGGAAATTTTTCAAATCAATATTGACAGTCTGCTTTTACATATTTTGTTGAATTTATTTATATGGGTTCGCTTATTCAAATCCTCTCAACATAATGACCGTATTGTAGTTTGGATAGTGCGTGAGTTTTTGTTATCAGGTATCAGTCTGAAACTTGTTCATTTCTACCTAGTTTGACAGATCCGATTCAGAAAAAATTGGATGTTTCTACATTGCATTTTCAAGACAATCAAGAACTGATCCCCATACTTCGTCTATGTTTTAAGAAGAGAAACAATTAATCCTGATTCCCTGCTTTCGAGGGAAATTACTCCCCATTATAAACTTAATTTTTCTGATTATGCCTATCCTGATAAAATAAAGGTGAATGAGCTTTTCTTATCTTACCCTTGATCCTTCAAGTCAGTATTCCCATCAATGATATAAATCAATTCTCAACCAATTAAATTCATTGAACATTTGTGCACAAAATGATTATGTATAGATTTAAATAGCTATACCATTTGAGACACGACTTTTGTTGGTCATATTGGTTGGAGAAAGTGCGATCTACTTCTCATTGATTAAATATTAGACTACTGAATCAAGGGTAATATATAAAGTAAACTCGAACAACTTTTCTAAATCAACTAGGTAGAAGTGAACAAGTTTCTGACGATTATGAAATGAAAATTACTCTTAACTTACCTCCATTTGTTTCAAGAGAGGCTGGGTGGACATGATATGGCAGCTTAGCCACGTACAACCTAGGTGGCCCTAACAAGGTAGCCCACAGGCTGCCAAAACTAAACTACTCGCGAGCCCAACCCGAAAACGCGAAAATTTTGCTCCGTGTGAACTACCTCCAAAAACCTAGGTTGCACACCATATCTAACCATGTTGTCCGTAGCTGAAGACGAGCTACTATACTTGAAACACTGAAATGTAAGAAAACGCCATAGTAAAAAAAAGAATAGAAATAGAAACAAGGTTATAATTATTTATTTTTACTTTTCTGATCAAGCTCACTTAAACTCTATATGTAACACTTTCCAGAATCATAATTTAAACTTTAGTCCAATAAACTAAACAAATTGTAAGATTTGGCTGTTGACACTTCCAGGTATCTAGTAACATTCTCAGATCATCGTACCGAATTGCCTCATCATGATATCTGCTGTATCAAGGGTCACAAACATCAGACAAACTCAAACACGCTTGATAAATCATTATGCCAATTTCCAAGCAAGCAATTATACACGTACGATTTATTTGCATGTAAATAATCTACAACTATGATATACTAACGTAAACAGGAATGGTATCCAACCATGGTGTATTAACTCAATAGTAAAACCGCTATTGAGCACCCTGACCTGAAACGAAATGACAAAACCATCAAAATTAGAATGTTATCGATGTGTTCAGTGGACAGATAGTGGCAAAGACGTGAAATACAATATTATATTGAATAATTACGCATAGTCTTTGATAATATCCCCTGTTCGAAGCAATTTATGTCATTGCGATGGCATTATAACTTACAAATTACACTGGTTAAAATATCATGAAACGTTTCGACATATAAAGAAACTTGAACCGTGAAACTATTTGGAATCATTTTCCTTTTTTACTCAATGTATAAAAGTAGTTTGAAAATGGGGGCAAGGTCGGGCAGGCCTTATTTCCGATTCCATAGAATTCCGCCTTTTTCATTCATATTCCTTATTTTGATTTCTAGTTCAGAGTCAAGCTTTGCAATGGATTTTTACTTCGAGTCTTACATGTAACTTCGATATTTTCGTTCTTATGGAAAATAGGGAGGGTGGGGGCATTTTTAACAATGTATCTTAAAATTTAGAGAATTTCAAAAAGTCGACTTACCGGTTGCTATAAACGAAGCAAACTGACTGAGCGAGTTGTCACTAGTTAGGAGTGAATTTCACTTACCATCACTGTTGTGATTAAAATCTATTGTATTGATTACTATTCTGTAAACCTTGTATATAGTCCGAAACCTGCTGTTTTTTCTAGCCTCTTTTAGAGACAATAGACGCAAGTTAAGATCAAATTCAAAAACCAGTTATTTTAAAAAAAACAAGGGAACCTTCACATAAGTAAATAGAATTCCAAACTATGATAGCCACTTATCCACATTAACGATATCTTCCAGTTAAAACTATAAAGATAGCTTGCCAGGCAAGGTAATATACGCTCACTGACAGCTTTGATTTTGAATAAAAATATTTAGCAGTACAGTAACAATCACCAGGATGAAATATTCAACTTTCAGTCAAACACTTCTTTTGAACTCTTTAGCGCAACATTGAATAATATTGAGTATGAGTTATTGCCCTTGTTCTTGAAAACGTGTTCAATTTTTAGCTCGTGAAAACCCTAGA